ACTAAATCATTTAAAATATAATTTTATATGTACTTCTTAAAGTTTTGTAATAAGTATTATTTAATATCATGTGTGTCATAAATAATCTAGATTCCAAAAGTTTTGTGCGTGGTCAGTTGCAAAATTTTTAATACTGATTTTCATTCAAGCTGTCTGCTTTCAAAATGCAATGTAATGGTTATGTATAAAGTTCCTCATAATTTGTAATATGTAGACATTTTATATGCAGTATCTATAAAAATCCTTTTGCTATCTTTATATTTGCAATCATTGGCTGTAGACATATAATTAATTTTTCATAACATGTGAATTGTAATATGTACCCATTTTTTGTGCAATATCTGTATAATTTCATTTGCTGTCTTTATATTTGCAACCATTGGCTTTCAATGTATACTTCTAGTAACACAAATGATTTCAAAAATGTATATTTAACTAAAAATGAAATATCAGCTTAGAACAAGTTTTTTTTATCTTAATACATTAAGTGAAAAATACTATTGTATCTTGAAAAATTTTAGATCGGCACATATTTTCTAAATGGAGATCTTTATTAAATTATTATTAATTATTCATAAAATTTATATTATTAATTATTCATAAAATTTATGTTTCAGAAAATGTAACAAATTTCAGTATTGGCAGATAGCCAATTCATAACATTATTTGCATAATTTAAAGGGAAAGAATATATCTAGTTTAAAGATTCTTTTTATTGATGCTAAATTCTGATCACAAAGTAATTAAACTGCATATGAATATTAATGATTAATTTTTAGCATTTAAGAACTTACAAGAAAATGCTTTTTAGATTATGATCCTGAAATAATAATGCTATATTTGAATATTATTAATGTATCTTTAACATTTAAAAGCTTACAAACTACTTGCATGGAAATGCTTTTAGCATACCAGATATAACAGAGTTCTAAATTAAAGAATGTTACACAGTGGTAAATCACAAAGGAATATGACTAAATGACATTAAAGAGGAGAAAAATTAGCCTCAAATTATTCTATTTTTTTTAACCAACCCCTCAAGCAAAGCTGAAAAAGATGGCAAAAATCTCTAATTTTAGAATTAAATATCTGGGTTAATTTTTATCACATAGGGTCAAACATTTTGTGTTTGTTTTTTATAAGCAATATTATGCCTATAGGGACATCTATTGTAAACATTTAGATTTAGTAATTTTTGCAAAATTAATTTTCAAATTAAAAAGTACCAAATCATGAATACTTGTGTCATTTAAAACATTTCTGCAATTTGAAGTATAAGTCTCTGACAAATAGTTGTGGAAATAAAGGTTGCATAAAAAATTTCTTGGACAAAATAGGTAATCTACACATTCTAGTGCACTTTTTCATTGTATATCATTCCTTGGTCTTTTATCTTTGTCTTTACATTGTTTTCCTTGCCTTTTTACTTTATACTTTGATTCTGTATCAATAATATCATTGTATGATAAAATTCTGTAGTTTTTATGCTACTTATCTTTAGTTATTTATATTACAGCTTAACTTCTAGTCTTTTTGAAAATTTAGATTTGAATCCTCGGCCATAAATTTTTTTAAAAATGTTTACTCATAAATTTTGTTTTTTCTTCTTGCAATAAAATTACAGAGCTAACTGTAGTAAAACAAATGCCCTTTTGAGAGATGTTAGATGAATTTAGGGGGAGAACACCAAATCTAGAATTGTTAATTTTGAGGTCACCATTTATTTTAAAAGCAGCTATCGTATTTTCTTATATCTTACATACACATACACATCTATCCCCTTGCACAGCTTAAAAGTCTTCACTGAGCTTTGCTTTTACAATTGTTAGTCATAATCATATGCTTCCAATTACTAAAGTATTTTAAATAGTCATGTTTTGGTAAATTAGTTTTGGACAAACAGCGAAATCTAACTACATACATAATATCAGTTTTTATATGTAGTTAATCTAGCAATAAATATCTCACACTATTTAATATCAGTTTATTATTGGTCTAAAAAGAATATTTAATAAGCCATACAAGGAAGTCGCATGGTGTCCATATAACATTTTTTTTTTTATTAATGTGTCTGTTTTTAGCAATGGATTATTAATGTTGTGGCTTTTAGATATTTTATGATAACTGGATTTACATAGATTTATGATAACTGGTGTGTATTTTGTGTTTTAAATAACTTAAAAATAGTTTTGAAGTAATTCAAGCTGTGTTCTTATTACATTGTTTGTAAGTGAAATAATTGAATAAGTTGAATGAAGAACTGAATAAGTTGAAATTATTTAAGAGCTGTCATTAATTTTTATGACAGGCATAGAGAACTCATGTTCCAGCCATTACATTAAAAAAACTGTTACTCTGTATTATGAAATAAAATAATTCTTTTTTTAAATATGATTTACTACCGTGCATATAGATATTTGATCTGACGTGTACAAAGGGTACTTTTTATGTAAAGGTCTAGACACATACGTTTTCTACATCTATAATTAATGTATTCTGTTGATTCGAAGTTCGAACAATAACTTACAATGACTCAATGCTGTGTGTATCAGTTACTATTGTTGTAAGTGTTTCAGTATAAAGTATTGAATAATTTCGGTTTGATACGTACTTGGCGAAGACTGAAGATAATTCGATGCCCAGCTCCAAACTTGAAAATAAAAATGTGGGTGATAGATAATAGGAAATCTGGGATAAGTGAACCAATTAATCAATAAGATTTATGAGAACGCATAGGTTCATAAGAAGCTATTGTGCCAGCCTAGCATTTTAGGTTTGTTACAAATTCAAAAAAAGGTCATAGATTACTCATTTGATGTGTTATTAAGAAATAACCACTCATGAAAAAATTACAGTAGTACTTTTGTGCTTAAATTACTCTGAAAAACTTCCAACGAGTGTTTGAATGATACAAATGAAATTCAGAAGTATAGGCGAAGCTTAAATAGCGATAGAATGAACCGAGAGAATTAAAAACCCGCCCCAAAGGAACAGTGTGAGAATGGAACAAGTGATAGAAACATTACGCCCTCGCAATGAAGCGGCCCTCTATTTCACATGTGCAATGAGTAAAAAGATCTTGGGAGGATGTAAAGCGAAGTAATTGTTAAGTCCTTTAGAAGTGTGGATCAGTAATGCTCTGATGGAACAGAAGACTCGCATTATTTGAAAAGTGATACTACGATGAAGGAAACAGTAGTGATGACGATATTGTCGTTTTCGATGATGATAGTGAAAGGATTTTTATGGTTTTGAAAGTTAAAAGTTTTGAAAGTCTAATTTCATGATAGGCAACGTTTTCCTTGAATCTGCGTTTTTTGTTGTTTATGCTTTATTTTGTATTATGTTTGATTGCTTGCCGTTCATTCATTTATTCATTATTGAAATTTACATATCATGTTCAAAATAGCTTGCCATTTGTTAATTTTCCTTAATAAAAATATGTTTGGTAATTGCATTCAATGATTGTTTATTTGGCTTTTACGAAACATGAGAACTAAAAGAAACCACATTTTAATTTATTGTGGTACCGTGCTATTGCATGGACTATTGAAACTTTTTTTGTGTGTGGCCTACTAAATAAGGGTGCATCTTATATGCCGTCAAATACGGCATATAAAAATTTATGTAAACATACATTATAAAATTATTTTCTTTTGTTATTTTAGATAGTTGCATATCTTAAAAGTGATGAGGTGGAGAACATATTATATCCCGTCATAAGAAAAAGTGATGTAAATTTGGAAAGCTTGTTAGCTGTGATGTGTTGCGTAGTTATGTCACATAAGGAGGGATTTGCCATGATTTCAAGTAACTAATTGATTAACTTTCTTCTTATTCTGCCTTCTGTTTTGTTTCACTTAAATTTAAAATTTTGCTTATAGATCATATGTTAATATCAGTTAATAATAAAATACATAAATCTGAATTCTTCCAAAAATGAAAGAAATATTCATTAAATTTAATTTTTAAGGTTGTATAATACTTGATGGTGGCTTAGTATATGTGTCCTTTATATTAATTAAATATTTAAATCTTTCTATAATATTTCATACTTTTCATTTTTATCAATATTTAATATAAGCCTGAAAATATCGCTTTAAAAAGTCAATGCTTAGAACTTGATGAATGTCTCACACTTTTAATTACAAGCACTAAAATGTTAAATTTCTTTAAATAAGTTTGTATAGTAAATATCTTGGGTACTTTTCCGTTTTGCCGGTGCAGGCGATAAAGTCGCCAATAATGGTACAACTGATGCCAAACGGAATATCCTCGCTGGTAACCTTTTATGCCTCATTTCCAAAACAAGTCGCAGCCATTTCTTATCAGATTGATTGTTTCTTTCAATAATAGTATACAATTAGAATTTTTACCAAAGAGTTCAGTTTTATGCCCTAAGGCCATTTGCGGTAATTAAGTCGATTAGGCTGCAATCACACCACTCACCCGAAGCCAGAAATATAGAAAAGGCAAAATCAAGAGTTAAATTCATCAAATCTAATGAGAATGCACTAGCAAAGTAAAGCACTGCGGTTTTATATAATTTCTGAGCAAGCTATTCATATGAATTGAAATAATTCTTGCATTTAAACTTGTATTCCAAATTAAGATTTAACTTGAAATTATTGTAGATAATTACTGAGAGAATTAGATTTTTATAGCGTAGTTTACGTGAGATGACATCACTTGGGGTCACGGGAATCAGGATGTTGTACCATGAAAGCATAGTAAATTCTTAATTTAACCACTTTTTACAAATTTATTGGCTTTTTATAAAATTTAAATGATATTAAAATGTTTATGCCCTCAAAATAAAAGATTCTTAGAACCAACATTTGTTAACATTTTATATGTGTATGATATGTGTTGTCACCAATAAAGTCTGCTTGGTAAGATTTGCCCCAGCGAAACGGAAAAGTACAAAATAAAGTCAATAAGTTTGTGTAGTAAATATCTTGTTTTATACTTTTTTGTATTTTTGCAGAATTGGTAATTGGTCTGATGAAAGAAGGATTTGAAAATTTTGATAAAGTTCTTTTATATAGAGCCATATTATTTGGCCGACAAATAATGTTGAAAGATGAAGTGCCAATATCTGTATCCTATGGCCTGTGGTTTCAAGTATGCCTTTAGTTTTTTAATGTGTATTTTGTAATGTTAAAAAAGTGTTTTCATTTGAAATCACTAAAAGTGATAATTTGGGGAATCTTTTAATGACATGTTAATGTATGTGCAAAAATCAAAAAACATTTTTGCTATATAACAGTGGTCTTCACACTGTTATATAGCAAAAATTTTGTGAACTCAAGTAAACTCAAATATATGCTCAACTGCCAATTTTCTGGGATAATTAACAGCAGATGACTTAGTACTTGCAGTTGTTTTTATCCACAATAGTACTTAATTTGACTATATACAATCTGGAATGTATAAACATTGTTAAATCATTCATTCAAAGTAAATTGCTCATTTATAAAAATAAATAAAGTGTACTGCCATAAATTAATCCTTCCACTTCATATTCACTCCTATCAAAATATAAGAGTAGTATGCAGTACAAAGTCCAAAATACAGGCGTCCAATATTCAGAATAATCTATTATGTGAACCTCAAGACCACCAGCAATATTTTTTTCACAATGTCTAGGGAAAAAGAACTAATACTAAGAAAAAAAGCAGGTGTGCCGTAAAGCGATTTTTCTCCCGACTATCTGAAATTCTTATATGTAACTTTAATGACAATATACAGTACAAAAACTTTAATCCGGACTCGTCGGGACTTCAGCATTTTTCCGGATTATAGATCATCAATTTAAATCTGGTAAGATGGCATGCAGAAATTATATAATTAAAAATATGAAACCGTAATTTATGAAATAAAGAGCAATTATGATGTAAAGGGTATCAAAATTGACAAAAAAAGCTTAATATTTATTTGTTTACTTTATTAAACATTTCTTCCAATGTAAGTTGTTTAAGTTGCTTCGTTTTATGTGCTAATACTTTCTCTTCAATTCTATAAACAGACATAATTTCTTGTTCAGTTGCAAAGTTCCACTGTTCAAGTCCTGTAATTGCTGTGCCGAGAATATCGACTAACTTTTCCACTAATCTCTCTATCACTTTCTTCATGCCTTTATCCATTTTTTGCAGCAATTCCACTTTTTGTTTGATGGACATCGAAACATGCTTTCGCTTTGTAAATCCTTTGGCAGCTCCAGAATCGGAAACTCTTTTTGACATAATCGAAAGTTCAAGCTTCCTTTTTATAAAATTGCTCTGACAGTCTGCAAAAAATAATAAGCCGGATCCAATTAAAAGATTAAGGAACAAAGCAATCTGCAACATTAACTGAAATAGATAATTAGATAATTTTAGCCTAGCTTATACCGTCCGTTATACATTAAACATGCACGCGTAAACGCATATGTGCATGCGTAAAGGTATTATGCGCATTCGTATATGCTACACATGCTCAGAAAGTTTGTAGCTTTGAGGTCTGGATTATAGGCGTCTGGATTAAAGACTTTGTACTGTATTGATTGATGGATACTTGTATTAAAATTGGCATTAAGCTGATAATTCTTAACAGCTCTTTCCAGTTGTCTCAGTTGATCCCATGATGAGGGCTGCTGGGGTGAAAATATGTTAGGTATTCTAAGAGAATCTGAAAAAAAAAAGGAGGCACATTTTCCTTTGAAAACGTCACTGCATCATGAAGAGATGATCTGATCGGTACAGGAGTAAGTGTGGCTGGAGACATGCAATGGTTATCATTAATTAAGGGAAATCACAAAAATGTGTCACTCGGCCTAATGTAATTTTGCAATTACTTAACTACTTCAGAGGCTGAGTATTTACTACTTACAAAATATAAATATAAGTAATGAATTTTTTTACGGAGAAAATTTCTAATAGTTTCATGTTTTGCTAATCTGTGTGGAATAATTTAATTATTCATGTAAATATGTGTATGCAACTACAAGACCTTTTAATTAAATTTTGTATTTATTCCTTAGACTTTCATCGGAGATTGCATTACCCTGAACAATCCAAAAATCTTTTCTTTTTTTATTTCTGTAATGACAGATTTGATTCCTCTGGAAAAAGATATTGATGTAATAAAGGTACTTTTCTTACTCCAGCAAAATTTTTTCTCCCACTTTTAATTATCTAAAATTATATCTAACATTTTATTTTATCATTTTAGGCAGCCCTAATACAGAAAATGTCCGTGCCTTTTGAATGCCAATCTGTCTATTCAGAATATATGACTTTACTCAAAACTAGAGTCAGAGACTTAGAGGTATTAAATTTTCAAGTGTGTTTTTGTAAGATCTAGACATGAGATGTCATCAGCTAAATATCAGGATTTTAAAATGAGATTTAATGAAATCTATTCATTATTTTATTTATGCTATTACTTATTATCAAACCCTAACCATTTTTAGAAAGAAAAAAGGATTTGAAAACAAAGGTTATAGCTTACCTGGCAGAAGAGATTATTATATTGCAGTTATTGAGGATTGTTACGATGTAATGTGAAGGAACTAGATACCCGTCCTCGTTTTAAACACAAACTTATATTAAATAATTGCACAATACAAGTATAAACAAGAAAATGACATATAAATTACGAGAACAGAACAAAAATAGTGAAGAATAGACAGCATAGCACTGCCTTGCGAATGCGTTCGTCTGAGTCTGACTGTTCAACTGAATTCAACGTTCTTTGGCATAGTTCCAGAAGCGAAAGAGTTGGGTTGAGTTGTTCTGTTCCGGTGCACCGGAACATAGTCCCACCCTATCAGGCATTAGTCCTGATATATGGGCAAAGGAGCTAATTTATGAATGTTTCTTTTGAAAATAGAGTTTTTAGTTTTACCGTTGCCACACGAACTAGTCCATCAGTACCATGATGAAGTTCGACCACTTGTCCTAGTGGCCAAGAACCTGGAAGATGACCATCATCTAGTAACAGGACGATGTCTCCAATTTTCATATTTGGCTGAGTGTCCTTCCATTTCTTTCTGGTTTGAAGAGAAGATAGATATGCTTTGGTCCATGATTTGCAGAAGTCCTTGTGCATCTTTTGAAGGAGATCCCACCTATTCCGTATATTGACAGGACTAGTAAGAGGTAGTTCAGGAGGGGATAGGATCACGTCTCCTGTAAGAAAATGTGAAGGAGTGAGAATATTAATGCAATCAATGTCGGTATTGTTTACACTACATAACGGACAAGAATTTAAAATGGCTTCTATCTGAGCCAATAGAGTTGTCAATTCTTCGAAAGTAAGTAGAGTTTCACCGATTACTCTTTTAAAGTGATATTTGGTTGATTTAATTGCGGCCTCCCAAATTCCTCCGAAATGAGGAGATGCTGGAGGTATAAAGTGCCATTCTATTGATGCTTGAGTTAAATGATGAGCAACGGCTTCGTTCTTAGGAAGTGAAGCCCACAATCGTTGTATTTTCGCTGAGCTTTTCGAATATCCCCAACGAAGTTTGTTGCATTGTCGCTGTAAATGTGACTTGGAGCTCCTCGTCTAGCACTGAAGCGACGCAAAGCAGCTAAAAATGCATCAGCGGTTAAATCGCTGACTGCCTCGATGTGTAGTGCCTTAGTAGCGAGACAAATAAATAGAGCAATGTAACCCTTGGTTGATTTTGCTCCACGACCCTTGTTGAATTTGATTGAAATAGGGCCGGCATAGTCCACTCCACTGCATGATGGGGAAGGAAATATTGCTCATTCTGAAATTTATTTAAACAGTTTTGTGTGACCAATTCCATATGACCTAAATTTTCATATTCATGCATAAAATCCTTGTATTGGTTTTCAAATTCCGAGTTTTCCTTAAATTTACGTTCCATAGCATGTAATCGAGAAAGTGCAGCTGGTTTTGGATTACCTAATTCAGATTTAGATTTTAAAAATGGCAACTTCACCACAAAACGACCATCTGAATTAATTGAGTAGTTTTCCCGAAAATGTGTTTCAACAAATTGTTCTTCAGGTGAGAATACAGTGTCAGTTGAATTTGGCACTTCTTCTAACTCCCAAAACCTTTTCAATTCCAGTTGAAGAAAGGCCTCTCGAGTGTTACACGATGCTTAGGTAGATTACCCATAAGCTGAGATGCGGTGGATGCTTTAAATTTGAAGCATTTGATGCATTTGTGAACAAATTTATTAATGAGCTTTTTTCCACCTATTATCCAATATGATTGTTTGATAATGTGGGACAGTAATGAAGCACCAGCATGTAAATAAGTCACATGCTTTTCTTTTACGATGAGCTCACTTATCTTGTGTTTAGCAGGTAGAATCACTGGGTGCTTTTGATTAAAAGACAATTCTGAATTTTGTAAACGCCCTCCCACCCGTAAAAGACTGTTTTCATCTATAAACGGATGGAAGGACGTAGCTGACTTTTTCTTAGGCAACGATCTTTGATTTTTAATGCATTTTAGGTCTTCATTAAAATAATCTTTCTGAACCCATCGAATTATGATTATTTCTGCATTTTTTAGTTTCCATGTAAGTGAGTGGAGAAAAGGAATCAGTTATAAGTGTTTGACATTTGTTATTGGATTTTGCACTTATTGATGAATCTTAAACAATATGCTAAAATGCGTATAATCTTAGAAAATGATGATATTTTTCAAATAAATCACTATATAATTCATTTGATGTAGCACTATGAAATGAAAATATAGGATCAGATCTTTGTTCAGCTTTAATTAGATCCTTGATTTCTTTGGAAGCGGATTCCTCTTTCGGCCAGTGAGACGAATCCAAAAAAAGCCAACTTGGGCCATTCCACCACAAGTTGCAATTAGGAAGACATTTGGGATCAATACCACGCGAAGCGATATCTGCTGGGTTCTCTTTGGAAGGGACATGCCTCCAGTATTTTGTTGGAAGTACTTCGATTATTTGAGACGTCCGGTTTGCAACAAAAGTCTTCCATTTACGGGGATGTGCCGAAAGCCAGGAAAGTACGACTTTGGAGTCAGTCCAAGCGTAAACATGTCAAACTTATATTTTTTGAGAGTGTTCATGACTGCACGATATAACTTTGAAAGCAAATGAGCATTGCATAGCAATGAGCATTGCATATAGTTCCAATTTAGGAACAGATACTTGTTTGATAGGTGCGACTTTAGTTTTAGAAACTAAGAGAGAAACCTTTATTTCATTTCCGTGTATTTGTTTGCAATATATTGCAGCAGCGTAAGCAAGTGTTGAAGCGTCGCAAAAGCCGTGCAATTCAAATGTGTCAGAGGAAATAAGCGTGACACCTCTAGGAACGGTAAAATGTTCAACTGCATTGAAAGATTTCTGAAATTTAAACAAATCTTCAGCAAGACTTTGTGGAATAGGAGAATCCCAGTCCCCTTTTGTAAGCCAGAGCTTTCTGATAAAAATTTTCAATACAACAGTACATGGTGAAATTAATCCTAATGGATCGAAAATGCTTGCCGATTGGGACAAAATGTGTCTTTTTGTCAGCGGTGAGGTGAGTGCAAGTGCGGGTTTGAAAATGAATGTGTCTGTTGAAGAGTTCCAAAATAATCCTAAGACTTTCGTGCTTTCCTTATCATTAGGAATTATTTCTAAATTAGTGTCCGTTGAACAATGTTCTTGAAATTCTGCAAGAAATGCATTTGAATTAGAATTCCACTTTCGTAGGTGGAAACCATGTGTTTGTAAAATATTGGTAATTTCCTTACAAAGTGATATTGCATCACTATCGGTACTTGAACCCGATAGCAAATCATCCATGTATACATCGTGTAGTAAAGTATGAGAAACAGCAACTATTTTGTGAATAATCTAGTGCAATTTGCTTAATGCACCTAGTGGCTAGGAAAGAAGCTGGAGCTAAACCATATGTTACGGTGTTTAACTTGTATGTGCGTATTTCTTCGTTAGGATTAAACCTCCAAAGAATTTGTTGGTAGTTCCGATCCTCATCGGACACTAAAACTTGACGGTACATTTTCCTCTATGTCTGCTGAAAAGACTATTTCCGGAAATCGAAAATTAAGTAAAATTTCGAAAATGTCTCGTTGCAATTTAGGACTAACAACCCAAGATTGATTGAATTCAATGATTTACCGCTGGAAGTTTTACATGAAGCGTCGAAAACGACTCTTAATTTGGTAGTTGTACTAGACGGCTTGATCACTGCATGATGGGGAAGGAAATATTGCTCATTCTGAAATCTATTTAAACAGTTTTGTGTGACCAATTCCATATGACCTAAATTTTCATATTCATGCATAAAATCCTTGTATTGGTTTTTCAAATTCCGAGTTTTCCTTAAATTTACGTTCCATAGCATATAATCGAGAAAGTGCAGCAACTGGTTTTGAATTACCTAATTCAGATTTAGATTTTAAAAATGGCAACTTCACCACAAAATGACCATCTGAATTAATTGAGTAATTTTCCTCCCGAAAATGTGTTTCAACAAATTTCAACTTCTTCAGGTGAGAATACAGTGTCAGTTGAATTTGGTACTTCTTCTAACTCCCAAAACCTTTTCAATTCGCTGTCAATATTTATTTCATAAATATGCAAGTTTGAAAGTGAATTTGATTTCGTTTGAGATTCCGGTAGTTTTTCCGGATATGAGGAAACCAAAAATTGAGTTTTGAGCGATTAAATCACTTTGAGAACAACTTATTTGTTTGGGAAGTAAAATGGAAAAAAAGTAGTCAAATCCTAGAATAATATCTATCTTATACGGTATAGGAAAATATGGATCAGCTAATTTACATTTTTCAAATGCGAAAAAATCTTTCTCATTTATTTTTTCGCTTGGACGCGCAGCAGTTTGTTTATCTAATGCAAATGCCTTAATTGGCATTCTCACTGATGTATCATGGATTGACATCAACTGAGTTTCAACGCAACCTTTTGTAACTGCGACTTTTGACTCAGCTAAACCCTTGACAGGAAAACGCGCATTTTTTTCTTTAAATCCCAATAAATTAATACAAGATTCAGATAATAATGTTGATTCGGAAACCACTATCACAAAGCATTCTAATATTACGTTTTTGACCATCGAATCAATTACATTTACATACGCAGTTGGCAATAAGCCAAAAGTTGTTTGAACGCTATTATTTTGAATTACAGTTCCGTTTTTGTTTTTCATTCGTAGACGCAATGTCTGGTATTTCATTCGCGGTTGGATTCTTTCTTTGCTGTTCTGACTGAAAACTGCTCTCAGAAAGAGACGCAGATGTGGAATAACCTTTTAAACTGATTTTCACACAGAGTACTATGA